TTTTTTTTGTAGGCAAACCTGAGGGCATCTGTATTCTACAATCTTTTAGTCACATCTGATGCACCCCATTACTCACACAAATCTCCATAAATATGCAAGAGTTTGTGTTCCCCTTTTATACTCTTCTGGCAAGCGTCCTCCTCAGACCTCCGTATTCTATCTTCTTCTCTCATGTCCTGTTTTCCACTGATGAGCGTAGGGGCCAGACCAAACAAGAGCTTATAGACACTTCCAGTCGTAGATTCTAAATCTAAGGTAAGAATCCTTACCCAGGGACTGCATAATGTTGAAGGTATTTCAGTCAGGGATTTCTGAGTTTTGTCATCTACTAAGAGCTGCTTCTCTTCCTTGCACAGCACTGGAACAGTCTTGGAAGCGTTGGGCATTTCAGTGCCTCCTTTACACCTATGCACAACCAAGAGTTGATAATTAGTCGTAGATTCCTTAAAAGCACACTGGTATAATATAGATATCCCTATGAGGAATAGATGCACTTTGGAATCTATGAAGAGAGGTGGGCACATCTTAATGCCTCTTTCTTTGTCATCCAAAACAAAATGTTTAAGATAGATCAAATGAATTGCACCCCACAAAAGACAATTTGCCTGTATGCACTCTGAAGAGAACATGAAGTTTATATATACAAATCTCTACAAAATCAACGTATAAACTCAGGCCCTGACATTCCTCTAGGTTGGAAGGACATCAACTAAGGGTTCTGAGAGTAGCACCGTTATTATACCCTGGTTGGCTACTATTTTCTTTTAAAATGTGTTGTGTAGCATTCTTTGCACCTTTTTACTCTCCTTCTGCATAATAGACTTGCCATTAGGATACTTTCTCGGGAAGCGAGAATAATTGTCTTGATTTTAATGATGTCATGAACTATAAGCGTGCTAGATTGTTTCCACCTTGCTGCATCTCCTCCATCTTGCCTAGGAGGGAGTAAATAATATTGTATTTACTAGAATATATGTGTATAAATATAAATACAAGCACATTATATATTTTTTTTCCATTTTTTCTTCCATTTTATTTCTTTTTTTTTTGAGCCTGTCTTACAGGTTATTTGTAAGAAAGCAGGCACCTTGTTCATCTTAGCCAATACAGTATCACCTTCTTGTGCACACTCTGTCTTTGATTGTGCTGCCTGTGTCCCACAGGATTTATTCATTCTGGAACTGAGGGGAAACCAAATTAGCATTCCCTTAGCCTCGTTATTTTCAGTCCTAAACTGGTAGAGTGGTTAGCATATTCTTTGGAGATATTGATTATACCTGGAGACTTATTCATATTCTTTTTACCCTTGCAATTTTCTGTATCCATGAGCTCCTCAGAGTGCAGAGATTGAAAGCATGTTCAGCCTTGCCCAATGTGTTGGTATCTATAGGTGCTATTGCCACAGAAGTAATGAATGTTACCAATAGTGGGCTTATAAAATGTAGTCATTATGTCTCCTTATTCAGGTACTCGATTTATTTTTGGTTGATTTATTTTTTACTGATGTTGTTGCAAACAGGTACAGGAAGCTTTTATTTTATTTACTGTAAAAAGTGCGAAAATAGGAGGGGAAATTTCCTGGTAGGGGAAAAATAATCTACCATCAGTGGAGAAGACAGTGACTAATTTTATGTGTTCTGAAAAATGGTTGGGAATGATGGGAAGGGAGGAGGGGAGAAAGGAGGAGGAAGAGAGCAAAGTAAAAGAGCATTTTATGTATCTGTAATTATTGAGACCCTGTTTAAAAGGTCAGTGAGCAGCATTAGGAATGTAAGTGCCATGGCCACCCCTGTCCATTCTGTTTGCCTCCTTTAATCTTTGATCCAGCTGCTCCAAACATCTGGCACGGTGAACTCTGACTCTGGCTCTGATTTCCTGGTGAGTCCTTGGGGATGTATGTGTAGGAGCTACTTTGCATCCAGCATGGTTGCATCCACACAGCTCAGTGTGTCCTGCTTGTGCCGGGATCACCTCCCTCATCTGCTGAGGGTCAACCACCATCCTGCCAGCCAGCTGGGTGTCTCCGATGCCAATGAGAGGTAGCTGCTTTCTGACTCCATCACAACACACACACTCCCTGGGGAGGCAGAGAACTGCTGTGACAGCCCAGCAAAGCAATGGCACCTCCTTTCTCCCCAGGTCTCTTGACATTGCTTCCTTCCAGGGACCCTGTGCACAGTAATACCACTTTGCCTTCGGTCTCACCTTTCCCTTCTACAGATACATCCCTTCCCTCCTTCTTCCAATCTGTGTTTTCTCTACAAGTACTCATCCTCTCTTTTTCTCTGTCTCCAGCCTCCTGACCTTCTAATAATCTCACAGCCCACTGTTACAACAATGTCTGAGGGGAGCGTGGGTGTGGGGAAGAAGAGGAAGGTTGCTCCTTACCCATCACCCCACCAAAGCAGTGTCAGGAATAGGGAAGCTCCTGGTAACTAGTGGGCTCTCTCCTCTCACATAACCTACCTCCATCCCTTCAAGCACCAGCACAGAGGCCCTTGGAGCTAAGTGGGGGGAATGAACAGTTAGAGCCACATGCACACACATTAGCAGTGCCCTCTGCTTTAACTACAGGCCTCTGCCAGGACTTCAGTGACTGGAGGAGCCACAAGAGCTCAAGAAGGATGCAAAGCAGGTGCTGGCTGATGGGCTCCCAGCCAGCCCCAAGCTGGGACAGAAGGAGGATGTGAAGGAGAAAGAGGCCAGGCTCCACACCTGGTAAGGACATATGGGATTCCTATCCTTCACCCTTTGGGATGAAAAGACCAGTTACTCTGTTGGAAGAGAGACAGCAGTGAAGGGATCACAGGAGATTAGGAGCATGGATGGAGCTGTAGCAAGAATTTCCCTCTTCTTCTGTTCCCCAACAACTTTATCAAAGATACTTCAGATGGGCAGGGGTGCGGAGGACGACGCAATGCAGGATGGATTTGATAATGTAGTCACCCTGGAGGAGCCACATCAAGTGGCGCCAGGATTTGGGTCATTCAGTAGTTGTTTAAAAAAAAAAAAAAGGATAATATTTTAAGCAGCAACAAAAGAGGGGGGGACCAGCAGGGAGTGCCAGGCTGTGGAGCAGCAGCAGAGAATGGCTGTTAATTCTCGAAAATGGATGCAAGAACTAATCCTCCCCTGCAAATACAGCCTGGTAAATGGTCAGACCCAGCAGCCTTTTAAATGCCAGATCAGCTCTTACTTAAATGGCATTTTGCGTTATTATTTATTTATTTTATTTTATTTTATTTATTTACTAAGAATAGCTTTGAATAAAGAGATGATCTCTGTCTGGCGTTGTGGTGTGATGGTTTGCCACTGTTTGTTGTTGCTGCTGCAGTAGGAATGCTGGTAGGTGTTGAGTTTGTTGGGGCTAAGGCTACCCAGGAGCCCTCCCAC